TGAATCAGCTTTGGAATAAGTTTTGGAAGGGTTAGACTTGGGATTTTTGTTTGAAACGTGAGCAGGAAGAGGCTCTACGCTCATTCATTTTTAAGAAGGATGTTTTACCGACAGGCTGTTTGTTTACACTCCCCCACCAGCTTTCTGTCGCGCTTCCTGCATCACAGTCAGTTGTGCTCATTGTTCAGAGCGTTGGCCAATAGGCAAGAATTTTGTTAGCAAAATCAGATAAAATACTTTTATTAAAATAAGAACAAAGATTAAAAGGATTCATCATCCCCGGAGGCTATTATTTATTTGTTAATTGTTTCCCTTTGGGCCATCATAACTTTTTAGTCTTATAACCATCATCCATAAAAACTCTTCCACATAATTTAATTCTAATTACTTTATTTCTATAGCTCCAATTCATATCATGTCATCATCATGTTCTGTTAAGTTTTCTTTGGAGTTTTAAGTTTCACTCTGATCCATTTTTTTCTTTGTTTTCTAGTTTTATTGGTTTAATTCCTATTTTGTGGTGTTTTCTGGATATATTTCAGTTCTTAGGTTTTTCCTTTTTGACCTCTGTTGCCCTCTGGTGTTGGTCTCCTTTTCCCCAGCTCCTTCTAGAACCCTCTGTTCACACCTGCTCCCAATCAGCTCATTAGTCCTGTCTTTGTTCAGTCTCCCATATATACTCTCTCTGTGCAGTTCCTCAGTGCTGGTTCCTCGTCTTTTCCTGGCTCCTCATGTTTGTTTTCCCTGATGTCTCCAAGGTTCTAGTTTTTCTGTATTTGTCATGTTGGATTTATAGATTCCTGCCTCAGTTGTCTGTGAGCACTTTCATTAAATCTTCAAGAACTCACCTCTGCCTCCCTAGCTCTAAACCTCAACCTAACCCTGACATTATCACTAAAGGAGGCAGAGGAATAACTGAACATCTGACACAGACAGCAGGAGAGAGGAGAGGAAGAAGGAAATGTTGGAAAAGAGTCAAGGGAGAGAGAGAGAGAAGCCATAGCGATGCTAAGCTAGCGCTAGCCTAGGCTAGCTACTCTTTACTATACAGAAATTAAACTGTGTGAAAGTGACAAGTGAAGCAGAAGGTGTTTTAAAGTAGTTCTGGTCAGTTAGAGTTTCTGAGATCCAGAGATATCACAGAGAAAATAACTTAGTTCAACATGCAGCTCAGTAGTCAGACAGGAAGGGAACACGATACGTCTCACAAGCAGCAGCAGTAGCTCCCTCTAGTGGCACATGAGCACAGAGGATGTGGTCTATAACATTAGACATCAGCCTTGAATAATTCATGATTTGCAATCAAATATCAGGGGTGCAGGAAAAGAGGGACTCAAGTTTATTAAAAAGAATCAGATTTTTTCATCTAGTGTTTTTTTAACCAAAGTGCAAAGGTCAATAATGACTCCTCTGGCAATAGCTCATATGAATAAAACACTGAAGGGCTCCAAAACCTTGAGAGACTTCACTTGTGTAGAATATTGACGCTTCCCCTTTTTCTCTGCCTTTTCAGGGACAAAGTCCACCCTTTGTCTGTTGCCTCCTGCATGCCACTTGTTTTCATTGCTGGAGGCAAAAGAGGCCTAATTTGCACCACTGTCTTTTGGGTCCAATTATTATAATAGCAAATGTATTGGAAAAACAATCAAACCGAAACAATAAAGAGATGCTGCTATCATGAATTTTAATCATCTTCACATTTAAAATGTTTTTCACACCTTCAGCGATTTTTGAGCTTCACCTTGTTTCTCTGAAGTTTCTTCCTATTATCTGCAGTGTGTAGGCAATTGTTTGAACTGAGCTACAAAGCCTCTCAGCTCAGAAGGAGCTGCAGTGCCGTGGGAAAAAAATTGACGCCTTATAAAGATTTCTCATGTTTTTGCATCACATTTTAGTATCAAGCTAAATAAAAAATTTATTTAAATAAAAAATGCATTTATCAAAAAAAAAAAAAAAAAAAAAAAAACAGTATACAAGGCCAACTAAACCTGTTGGAAAATAAAAGTGTTACTCATTAAATTATAAATGAACTATAATCACATGCCTCGCTGTAAGTGCAATAAGTGCAGTTATTCTTGAATTGGGCAGATAAGTGGAAACAACTGCAGTGTCCTATTTCAAGGGCATAATATCTAATTATCTCATTTTAATGGTAACAATACTCATTCCATTGCCAAATCAGCTTATTCTCCTGTTCAAATTAAGGGTAAATACTCTTATTTTAAGAAACTTTTACTCATTTTCAGAACGTTTTGCAGTGCTGATACTAAAATGTTATTTCTAAATAAGTCATTTTTTCTTAAAAAGAGGCTATTTTATTTCTTTAATTGAGGAGGTAGGTGAGACGTTTTTGCCAGTGGAACAAGACAATTTACCTTTTTAAATAAGAAAAAAACCTTTTTTATTGTCTTAATTTAAGTGCATATTATCTAATCATTTTATTTGATCTAATTATCCTGTTTTAATAGTCAAATCATCTTCTTTACCTACGGCACTAAAATTAAGGGTAAATACAATTAATTTAAGAATTTGGTACTTTTTTCTTGAGCATTTCTGCAGTGTAGTTTTAAAGACTTTAACACATCATGCATCATCAGAATCAGAAATAGTTTAATGATTCCAGGAAGAATTATCTTCATTACACGCTCCAGGTATGCAAACAGCATGTTAAAAACATTCATCATCTAAAGAAATATAATACAATTTTCCACACTGAAAATATAAATATATACATATGCAACAATATATATTTATATATTTACAGATCTAAAAAAAAAAGTCATAGCAATGGGCAAAAGAGAGAAAAGGAAAATGTCAATAATTGTCAATAATTTAATAATGTGAGTCAGAATTACAGAGGGATGGTTAAGAAAGTTGCCTCTAAAATTTCCTAATTGATGACTTCATTGATTACCCATCAAGAAGACTTTAGACTTTTAGATTTTAGACAGATTTTATTTGTCATTTTGTTTACACCAGTTTAAAACAAAAAAGAAATTTCGTTTGGAAACAGCTCACTGGACAATTTCATCTTTTTAAAATTGCAGCCTTGAAAAATTGTAAAAATGACCATAAATTTACAGTAAATTTACATTTACATTTATATATATATATATATATATATATATATATATATATATATATATATATATATATATATATGTTAAATTGGAATAAATACAATAATAAAATACAATACAATAACCCATTCTACAAAACATTTATCAGTGTGATGGCGGTGGGGAAGAAGCTGCTGCAGAACCTGCTGGTCCTGCATTGAATGCTGTGAAGCCTCTTCCAAGAGGGCAGCAGGGAGAACAGTCCATGGTGGGGGGGTGAGGGGTCATTGATGATGTCACAGGGTTGGTACACGCAGCGCTGGGATGAAATGTCTTTAATGGAGGGAAGAGGAGCCCCCATGATCCTCTCTGCTGTTCTCACCTTCTTCCAGTCTGAGGCGCTGCAGCCTCCACACCACACAGCGAGACAGCTGCTCAGAACGCTCTCTATGGTGCTTCGGGAGAAGGTGGGGAGGATGGGGGGGGGGGGCAGGTGGGATCTCCTCATCCTCCACAGGAAGTCCAAACGCTTCTGGGCCCTTTTGACCAGTGAGGTGGTGTTTCCAGTCCAGGTGAGGGTGTCTGGGATGAATGTGGTGCTGCTGACCACCTCTACAGCTGAGCTGTTGATGAGCAGTGGAGCGTGGTTAGGACGGTTCTTCCTGAAGTCCACCATGATCTCCTTGGTCTTCTCCACCTTCAGGATCAGGCTGTTATCTCTGCTCCACCAGCTGCTCCACCTCCTCTCTGTAGTCCAGGTCGTTGTCGTCTCTGATGAGGCCCACCACCGTGGTGTCGTCTGCAAACTTCACCATGTGATTGGTGGTGAACCTGGGGACGCAGTCGTCTGTCATCAGGGTGAACAGCAGGGGGCTCAGGACACAGCCCTGAGGGGAGGGGCTTAGACTGATGACATCAGAGGTGTTCTGTCTGACCCGGACTGACTGAGGTCTGTTGGTGAGGAAGTCTAGCAGCCAATAGCAGAGGGGTGTATTGAAGCCCAGCTGTTCCAGTTTGCCCATCAGATGCTGTGGGATGATGGTGTTGAAAGCTGAACTGAAGTCCAGGAACAGCATCCGCATGTGGGTGTCCTTCTCCTCCAGGTGTGCCAGGCTCAGGTGGAGAGCAGCAGAGATGGCGTCCTCAGTGGAGCGGTCAGGTGTTAAAGATGTCTGGCCAGCTGATCTGCACACTCCTTATACACCTGCCCAGGTATGTTATCAGGCCCTGGGGCAAGAAGGTCACAAAGCCAAACAAAATGAATGCATTTAAGGTGTCACTTCCTCCCCCTGCCCCCCTCCTGTTCTCTGCATTTCTCCACCACTGACCCTCTGACCCTCCCAGTGTTTTGCTCCCACAGCAGGTTGTGACTGGAGGCTTTTCCTCTGCTGCCTCTCAGCAGTTCTGATTTCATATCTGAGGGCTCCACAGACTTTGACCAACGTTAAAACAGGCCTAAAAAAACTTTATAGTGATTTTATTGATCTTCATTTAAAATCTATTGTCCTTTTTTATAACTATTATATTTTAGTTTAGTTCTACAGATCCAATTTATAACACGTAATCTCAGGTCATTTTACAGAGATAATAGATCAAATGCTCAGATCTGTTCAATGTTTATGTTTGTTTATTATCATAAATATGCCACTTTAAACTCATCATTTTAAATTCCATTTTTTGTTATCTTTGAATGGCCCTGATATGACATCATAGATTGAAGGAACACAAACAGAAGAAGAAAAAAATGGGAAATGGTCCTTTATTCGTTCTGAGGCCAAATCAGGCTTCATTATCACCTCGGGATTAACTAATGTCTATAATCTGGGTTATGAACGGCCGTTTGTCCGCTCACAGCACTGCTAACAGGGTGATAAAAGGTGAACATCCGGCCAGTGGCGCTTTATTTTGAAATGCCCACTGAAAGCGTTTGTTTCCGGTCAGCAGGTCGGCTCTCAGCCAATAAGAACACAGCTGCAACCCGGAAACGAGGCTAGAGCTTAAAAAAAGGCGCCTGATCAAAACAGGGGGGAAGCTACAGGTAAGCTCGGTTCTTTTCTTAGATATAATAATAATGGCCACATTTCCAGGCTGTTGCCATGGCAGCAACATGGCGGCTTGGTGACGCAGCTTCTGATTGTCGCGTTTTTTCCTGAGGCTTTGACAGGACTGTGCGCTACATGCAGAGATGGGCAGAGTAGCACTACGTCATCATGTGTTTTCTCAACCAAAAGTAAAAATGTTACTAAAGTACTGAGGAACTGATGTTCTTACTTCCCATGATCATAACTGATTAACAGGGTTTTCAGTTTTTTCACTTATAAAATCAATAATTACATTGTATAAAATGAAATTACAATATTTTAACTTAATATCCAAATGACATAGCAGATGGAAAAACAAACATATCAGTGCTCCTTTGGTATAGATTTTCTTAAAACCCTTTCATAAATGTCTAAATAAGGCCCAGTGTGTGTGTTTTTTTTTAGATTTGGCCATTTTATAAGGATGTCTATGTGTCTATGTGTGCAGGTAAATATTACTGTGCAGAATTATTAGGCACCGTAATAATAAATAAAAATATACCCATCTCACTTTTTCACCAGGTAAAGCAATAGAACAACTCAAAATTCAGAAATTAACATTTGCGACATTCAAAAACAAAAACAGATCAGTGACCAATATAGCCATCTTTCTTCACCATGGCGCTCTAAATTAGCCTGGGTGCCAGTCCGAACTTAGTCCCGCCCACAAGGTTTGAGTTCGGGGAAGTTCGGTCTGGCTCTGCTCCATAGTAGCGCGAGTATTAAAGCCCACTGTCAGGCGATCCAATCAAATTGTCAGGGCGGGCTTTATACGATGATGGACAGATGATCAAGAGTAACGTTATCAACCACGTGACCAAAGCGCGCTTGAGTGACAACAACAATGGCTGCCGCTGGAGAGTTTGAGTGAGTAGATTCTACTATCAGGTCTGTTCTAGAAGATATCGACAGCAAATTAATTTTAAAAGAGGAACAGAGAAACGCGATCAAGGCTCATCTTCTTACGCTTTGATTTTTGTGGACAACAACTATGCCTCGCTTAACATACGTCACGCACTCCGTTGCTCTTATTGGTTGTAGGTCTATCCAATTGAGTGCAGAGGCATTTTTTTTCCTGGTTCGTTCAAAACACGCCCCATAATCACAGCTCTATGGAGCAGCATCAGACTCATATTCTGACTAGAACTGAGTCGGACTACGTCAGGCTAGCTCTAAATCCTTCCATCCATAGATTCTGTCAGTGTCTTGATCTGTTTGTGATTCTCATTGCGTGCAGCAGCCTCCACAGCCTCCCAGACGCTGTTCAGAGAGGTGGACTGTTTTCCCTCCCTGTAGATCTCACATTTCATGAAGGACCACAGGTTATCCATGGGGTTCAGATCAGGTGAACAAGGGGGCGATGTCATTATTTTTTGTCATTATTTTTCCTCGTTTTTGACCTTTTCTGGCCAGCGATGCTGTGGTGTATTTTGATGCGTGTGACGGAGCATTGTCCTGCAGGAATATCTTGTTTTTCTTGAATGATGGCGACTTCTTCTTGTGCCACTCTTTGAAGGTGTCTTCCAGAAACTGGCAGTAGGTCTGGGAGTTGATCTTGACTCCATCATCAACCTGAAAAGATCCCACAGGCTCATCTTTGATGATAGCAGCCCATAGCATTACCCCACCTCCACCTTGCTGGCATCTGAGTGGATAAGGAACTTGCTGCCCTTTACTGATCCAGCCTGGTGCCCATCCATCCATCTGGACCATCTAGACTCTCATTCCATCAGACCAAAACACCTTGGAGAAATCAGTCTGCAGATATTTCTTGGCCCAATCTTGACGTTTTGTCTTGTGTGTCTTGTTCAAAGGTGGCCTTTTTCGGCTTTCCTTATCTTGGCCAGGTCCCTGAGTATTGAGCACCTTGTGCTTCTCAACACTCCAGACATGTTGCAGCTCTGAATTATGGCCCAACTGGTGGCTAATGGTTTCCTGGCAGCTTTACACTTCATCTTTCTCAATTCATGGGGAGTTATTTTGTGTCTTTTTTTCAACATGCTTCTTGCGCCCCTGTTGGCTATTTGCCATGAACGCTTGATTGTGCAATGATCCCGCTTCAAAAGTTTGGCAATTTCCAAACTGCTGCTTCCCTCTGAAAGACATCTGAAAATTTCTGACTTCTCTGTCAAATCTCTTTTTCTGACCCGTTCTGCCAAAGGAAAGGAAGTTGCCTAATAATTAAGCACACCTTATATAGGGTGTTGATGTCATTAGGCCACACCCCTTCTCATTACAGAGATGCACATCACCTGATTTCCTTAATTGGTAGTTGGATTTCAAGCCCCTACAGCTGGGAGTAGGACAACATGTATGAAAAGGAGGATGTGGTGGAAATTAGGGCTGCAACAACGAATCAATAAAATCGATAAAAATCGACTTTTAAAAGCGTTGGCAATGAATTTCATCATCGATTAGTTGTATCGTGCGATTAATGCGTCATCCGCCGCCGCCATCATCACATCCACTTGACTGAAACGGGGGAAGAAAAAAAAATTACGGCAGAGCGAGCCAGCGCTGCAGGTGCAGCGTTGCCAACTCAGCAACTTTTCAGACCCCTCCAGCGACTATTTTTCAAAAACACTGACTAGCGACAAATCTGGCGACTTTTTACGGTGTCACTGGCGGCTTTTGGAGACTCTTACGTGAAAGCATGTATCATTCCTACTCTGCCGTGGGGCGCCTCCCCCATCCCAACCCCGTTCTCCCGCAGGAGTCCCTCTCAGCGCTGCAGTCAGAGCCGCAGGATGTTTCAGCGTCCAGACTGCAAATGAAGCTCGCATGCGCCAGGATTGACGGCGCAAATTGATCACAATAATTAAAATAGCCTTTATAAATAAATTAACTTGCAAATTATGAGGACAAGGCTTTTAAAGTTTAAATCTTCTAGCAAAGATAAAGTAAAGAAGATCCTGCAATTTATGGAAGTAAAGCAGAATAAAATCCAGCAAGATCAGTAATATGTCAATTAATTATCTGCCACATTCCCATGTAAATATCTGTCTTTGGAGGATGTGTTTTTTAGCACCCCTAGTTCTCTCATTTTTATTCCAAATACAATTTATAATTTGAATCACAGGCTATTTTTATCTCTATGGTTCAGTATTTTCTCAAGTAGCAACTTTAACTGCTATACTTTCCTGTCTTAAAAGGCAGAACTCTTCTAGTCTAAAAAAACTCATTTGTTGAAATGGGGGGGCCTATTGTTTGAACCCTTTAGGGACTTTAAAAAACAAAAATGTCTTTTTTTGCGCTTTCTGAAACAAAGTAGCCTATATTTTGTGGATGTACAGCTACATTTCTCATGTAAGTTTGCGTAGTTTTAACACAAACATTTATTTTTCATATTGCACCAGTACAGTTAATGAGCAACCTGTACTTGTGTGCTTGTTTGTTCTGTCTAAAATGTTTATTTTGGAATAAAGAGGTTAATATAAAAAATATTTTTTGTCCGATTCGATTAATCGAAAAAATAATCGTCCGATTCATCGATTTTTAAAATAATCGTTAGTTGCAGCCCTAATCGAAATACTCATTTTTTTTGCCTAATAATTCTGCACACAGTGTAGTGAAGCTTAAAGTATAATATTCTCGCCTCAAATGATCTTAAAACATACTTTTATTGAACAACAACAACAGAAAAGAGAACTTTTAACTTAATACTCTGAGCTCTGTCAGCGCTAAGCTGGAAGCTGCTGCAGTGCATGCTGGGACGGCTGTCAGTCTGGTGATTATGAAGGAAACTTCATTAGAAATGACTTTGGAAAAAACTCATATACTGAAAGAGACTTAAAGGGCTGTGAGAAGGGAGAGAGGATGATGATTAAGGAGAAAACTAACAAAGAATATTTACCAGAGGTCTCCTTCCACACCTGCAATAAACCAGAGCAAAGCCTGGAGCGTTGCTCCACCTGATCTGCTGGCTTGTTTTTTCTTCCTCCTCATCAGAGGCCATGAGTTTCTCTCCTCATCCTCCCAGTCTCTCTGGGAGCAACAGTGTGGAGGAGCAGAGGAGCCGCTGGGAGAGAAAACGCAGCCGAGCAGCCAAAGAACTGGTTCAGACGGAGCAGCACTACTGCCAGCAGCTGGAACTGGTCACTACAGTAAGTTTCATCTCTCACTGATGTTTAGCCCGTATTCAGAGAGCCGTTATTTATCCATGTATCGGAAAATTAGTGCAATTGTTTAACTGCTTTTAATGTTTTTAATTACTTCAGACATTTCAATGCAGCAGAACCATCAGGATTTCAGAAACATAAATGTTTTTTCTAAAAAAAAAAAAGTTTTGATGATGCTCTGCACGCACACGGACTCTGCTCAGTTTAACCACCGCAGTGCCGGTTGGCAATTGGCAACAAAAACTATGCTGCAAAAAAAATTAAATGTAAATAAGTTATTTTTTCTTAAAACAAGTCATTTTTTTCTTGAATTGAGGTAAATGAGACACTCTGCCAATAAAACAAGACAATTTGCATAAAAGATAAGAAAAAACATTCAAATTTTCATATTTCAGTGCATTTTATGTATACTGCTCAAAAAAATTTAAGGGAACACTTTGAAAAAACATCAGATCTTAATGGGGCAAAAAGTCCTGCTGTTTATTTATCCTGCTATGGATTGGGTGATGTGTTAGAAACAAAGGATGCCACATCATTTGATGGAAATGATGGCATCCTGAGGTATCTCCTCCCAGATCTGGACCAGGGCATCACTGAACTCCTGGACAGTCTGAGGTGCAACCTGGTGGCGTGGGATGGAAGGAAACATAATGTCCCAGAGGTGTTCTATTGGATTTGGGTCAGGCGAGCATGGGGGGGCAATCAATGGTATCAGTTCCTTCATCCTCCAGGAACTGCCTGCAGACTCTCGCCACATGAGGCCGGGCATTGTTGTGCACCAGGAGGAACCCAGGACCCACTGCACCAGCATAGGGTCTGACAATGGCTGCGAGGATTTCATCCCGATACCCAATGGCAGTCAGGGTGCCGTTGTCTAGCCTGTATAGGTCTGTGCCCTCCATGGATATGCCTCCCCAGACCATCACTGATCCACCACCAAACCGGTCATGCTGAACGATGTTACAGGCAACATAACGTTCTCCACGGCTTCTCCAGACCCTTTCACGTCTGTCACATGTGCTCAGGGTGAACCTGCTCTCATCTGTGAAAAGCACAGGGCGCCAGTGGCCGACTTGTCAATTCCGGTGTTCTGTGGCAAATACCAATCGAGCTCCACGGTGCCGGGCAGTGAGCACAGGGGCCACTAGAGGTCAGGCCCTCATGAAGTCTGTTTCTGATTGTTTAGTCAGAGACATCCACACCAGTGGCCTGCTGGAGGTCATTTTGCAGGGCTCTGGCAGTGCTCCTCCTGCTCCTCCTTGCACAAAGGAGCAGATACCGGTCCTGCTGATGGGTTGTAGACCTTCTACAGCCCTGTCCAGCTCTCCTGGAGTAACTACCTGTCTCCTGGAATCTCCTCCATGCTCTTGAAATTGTGCTGGAAGACACAGCAAACCTTCTGGCAATGGCACGTATTGATGCGCCATCCTGGAGGAGTTGGACCGCCTGTGCAACTTCTGCAGGGTCCAGGTAGCGCCTCATGCTAACAGTAGTGACAGTGACCCTAGCCAAATGCAAAACTGGCGAAAAGGAGTCAGAAAAGATGAGGAGGAGAAAAATGTCAGTGGCCTCCACCTGTAAAACCATTCCTGTTTTGATGGTCGTCTCGTTGTTGCCCCTCTAGTTCACCTGTTGTTACTTTCATTAACACCAAAGCAGCTGAAACTGATTAACAACCATCTCTGCTACTTACCTGACCAAATATATATCCCACAAGTTTAATGAACTGGATGCTATACTCTGATTACAAACTGTTCCTGTAATTTTTTCAGTAGTGTAATTATCGGATTCTAGGAGTAAAAATACTCATTCCTTTGGCAAATCATCTTATTTACCTGCTCAAATGAAGGGTAATTACACTTCATTTAGGAAACTTTTTTCTTATTTCTAATTGTTTTGCAGCAAATACAAAATGAATACTGATTAGAACCTGTCAGAATCAGATGCACTGCAAATTACTTCTGAAAATGAAAAATGTCTTAAAATAAGCGTGTTTAGCCTTAATTTGAGTAGAAAAATAAGATGATCTGCCAATGGAATGAGCATATTCACCCTTAATTTAAAATGATTAGATAATAGGGTCCACCCTTTTGGAATGGGGGTGGTTTGGCTTCTTTGTTAGTCTGCAATGCCCCATACCTGTCTATGTCTCTGAAAGGGGGGTCATATGTTGACCTGGCTGAATAGGTGAGGTCAGATCTCAGGTCATTGACCAGCTCCTCCCTTGCAGGATGATTTCTCTCCTTTCTTAGGCCCCGTCCACACGAAGTCAAACCCTGGCCTAAATTCACAAATTTTTCACCAAACCAGCCTCTCATCCATACGAAGCCGGCGTTTCGGGGGTCTGTAAACGATCTTTTTTTTATTCAGCCTTCAGAGTGGGAAGATTTTGAAACGCTGTTTTCGCGTTTCCATCTTTAAGCTCTAACCGCATTTTTTTTTTTACACGCATGCGTCATAGCGTCGCCTCTAAACACGCATGCGCGACACAGTATCACAACAACAATGGCGCCGTACTGTGTTGAATGGTTGCTGCTCATGCTACTCACCCTGCTGTCGGGCTTACAACAGAATCTTCTTCTTCTGGAATATCTCCAGGAAGAACAGAGCAATATCGACAACATAGTTCAGCACCTGAATTTGACTGAACCACGAAAATGGACCCGCAGGGCAACCATGTATAAATATTAGTGCGCATGCCCAACATTTCGTCGCTTATTTTTGCTTTGGCACCACAGCGCCACTTACAGGCCTGGCATACATTTTGCAGCGTTTTCATGCATTCGTGTGGACGATCACATTTATTTTACGTCTCCGTCTTTACGGCAAACGTTCTGGAAAATATTAGCGTTTCGTGTTCGTTTTGACTTCGTGTGGACGGGGCCTTAGGATCAGTGAGGCCCCACCAGGTGAGATCCTGCATGGAGCTCCAGTCTGATGGAGATTGACAGTCATGTTTAGCTTCTTCCATTTTCTAATGAAGCTCCAACAGTGGAGATTTTTCCACCAAGCTGATTAGGTTATTTCCCCGTAACCTTTAAGCCTGGTGGAGGTGGACAGTTTAGTCTGTGGTGTCTTTGGACAGCTCTTTGGTCTGCGCCATGTTAGTTGGATTCTAACTGATTGTCTGGGATGGACGGGTGTCTTTATGCAGCTAACCACCTCGGACAGGAGCAGCTAGTTTAGGGGAATAAATGGACTGTTAAAGGCAGACTAACAGGTCTCTGAGGGTCAGAGTTCTAGCTGATAGACAGATGTTCAAAGACTGATTCACAGCTGGATCATACAAATAAAGTTAAATCATATATTATGATTTCTGGATTTTTTTTTTGTAGTTTGTCTATCAGTGGACATGCAGCTAGGATGATTCCAGATTCCTCTAAGTGGGAGAAGTTGGAAAACAGCAGTGTTCAAATACTTATTTTCCTCACCTTCCATCCATCCGTATTCCGTTGGAAAAAAAAGTCTTGTCCATAGAAGTTGTCCATATATGAGCGGAGTGGTATATGCTGTTCAGTGCAGTGAGGAATGCTCTGATCTTTATAGTGGAGAAACCAAACAACCTCTCCACAGACGCATGGCCCAATGCAGAAGAGCGCCCTGCTCTGGACAAGACTCTGCAGTACATCTACACCTGATGGACAAAGGACATTCTTTGGAGGACCAGAATGTTCACATTCTAGATAAAGATAATACTGTAGGTGGTTTGAGAGAGGCGTGAAGGAAGCCATTTATGTTAAGAGAGAAAAAACAACTTTAAACAGAGGTGGTGGACTCAGATTCCAGCTTCCAAAAACATACAATTCAGTCATAGAGATGATCCCTTCCAGATATCACCAAACCCCCCACCCCATCACAGAGGAACGAGGGACCTACCCGCCCCAGCCGGTGAACAATACCTCCTTAACGACCAACCCTCAGAACCATAGACAGGGTTCAGATATCACAGGAGACAATCCCCCCCTTTAACGACCGACCCCTAGAATCATAGACAGGTTCAGCTATTACAAGCTAGCAATGGAACCAAACGACCCATTCATCGGTTTCCATTTGCATGTTTCCAAGCGTTACAAGGCTTTGTCTATATAAGACTCAAACTCACTGCGGATCCAGACATTTGAATTGAGAAAGCTTCCTTGAGAGGTGGAGAAACGTTTTCAAATCTTGAAAACCAAGTCCAGTGGATATTTTTGAACTTTCACGGAAAAAATATAGAATAATCCTTCATGATTAAATGTTGATCCTGGAGCAAATGTCACATATTAGCCTGAGGTGAACGCTCTCACTGCATGGAATTAACCGCACGCCGCTTCACTTGTTGCTTTGATGAAATGATAGAACAGGATAAAGGAATCTTTCTATGGTGGACGTGTTTCTGTTGGGAGGAGCTGATTGAGGAACCAAGCAGGAAGTGACATCATCAGAGCAGAGCTCTCTAACCCTGAAATCCCACATCCACCGTCACCAGCGCTCCTTTTTTTTTTTTTTTTTTTTTTTTTTTTTTTGAGGATGTTGGGGAAAAAAATGGCAGATAGTTCCCATCCCTGCATCAGAGCGCTACCTGTTGGATCTATGAACGGTTTTCTATGCTTCAACCAAACTAGCAGCATCCCTTTGGGATCCATGGCCTGAAACACACCCACCGCTTTGTCTACATCAGCCACCTGCCTGGCACCGCGCTGCGCCGCGCAAAAACCTGGTGCAGGATATGATGCTAATCTTTTTGACAGAGATGTTTACCTTTATTGTTTAAATTTAGTTATTATACAAATGTTAACAGCTTTGGAAAACATAATGAATGTTTGTTTGACCTCCTGTACTATATTTAAATTAACAAAAGCTCCATGGAGCCACAAGGGGGCCCTAAAGAGCCTTAATTAGGGCCCTGGTCTAACTAGTCTGCAGCACTTCACTCTCATTAGGAGTCATTTTACGTGTCCTGCTCTTATTTTCAGTTCATGTCTTGCCTTGCTGATGATACCATTATTTTTTTTTGCTTTGGGTTGTCTCTTGTACAGGCTATTCATTCCCTACAGAAAGCCTTTGTTGCTGCACAGTATTAATTTATTAATCTTAATTTAATAAAGTTAATGTTGTTTTCTAATAATAGGAAGGCGCCTCCAACCCTTCCAGTAGTTTCCACTCTGGAGGGGAATATCATTGAGGTGACTCCCTCACCTTCAGACCTTTTATTCATAAACTTGTTAAGAAATGAAAAGTTAAACTGGGCTCCTTCTTTCGTAATAAGACATGTTTTTCTTTCGGAGTAAAGAAGCATCTTGTCTCTGCCACGTTTTTATCGGTCTTAGATTCTGGTGACCTTTTTTCAGGGGTGGAAAGTAATGAATTACATTTATTCAAGTTACTGTAATTGAGTACTTTTTATGAGTAATTTGTAATTTTCTGAGTAGTTTTTGAAATATGTAATTTTTACTTTTACTCAAGTAAATTTTAAGTAGTTTTACTTCGCTACATTTAAAACCCCCTCACGTTACTGAGTAAAAAAAAAGAAATACTGATGGCCGGAAATTTAAACCCCTGTGTCACCGACACATAATCGCCATTAAAAAATAGAAGAAGATTTTTGACTTTTAACAGAACTTTATTTACACAATTCAAACATATAAACAATTGATGTAAAAATAAGTGTCAGTTAAAATCATTAAATGAGGAGCTTGTTAATAACAGTGGAATCCTGCTGTGTTTTAGTTTGATTTCTGGCATCTTTTGGGCATTTAATTTTGTGTGCATTTTTGAAAACTTTAAAATGTAGTTTAAATTTCTTTATTCCTATCATGGTGTTGTCAGTTGGACAGTAGGATTGAAAATAGTTTGCACTTTATGGTTCAGGTTAGGCTTGTCCCGATCCGATCCTCGTATCTGATCGGACGCCGATATTGGCAAAAAAATGCGTATCGGCAAAGCATGTAAAAATGCAGATCCAGACTGCCGATCCAGTTACAAAAAAAAAAAATCCGGTCCGTATTTTCCAGTTTCGCCGATTGAAACGATCCATTCCACTATTTTGCGCCAGTGTTCCCTGAAACCGGTCTGCATTTTCCAGAACACCTTCAACACACCCACAGGTCTTTTTGGGTCTGTCTCCAGTCTAACCATTAAAAGAGGTGAATTGGAAGATAGCGGGGAAAATGTCAGCCGTGTGGGATTATTTTATCCAGCACGATGTGTAGATGGAGACTAGGTGTGGAGGACATTGGGGAGTATAAGGCATTTTTGTGTAACTATTATTTGCACAGATTTTTTTTTAAGCAGTGTCTTTTTTTCAAGAGTAGAGTCCTGATTCTAAGTTAATAGAATATTTTCCATATTCTGTTTTGCATTTTTATCAAAACTTACAGTAATACTTGCACCTTTAACTGTTTACGGTTTTACTGTTCACTGTGCAATTTCAGATTGCTGTTCGTAATTTTGTCCAGTTTGTGTTTATCTCTTAATAAACAGGAAAGTTTGTTGTTACCAATCATTGTGTTTTATTCAATCTCACCTAATTCAGCTGGCTAGATGTTATCAAGAGTACTAAAAGCCTTTTCAACATGAGTCTTACAACTTAGGCCAAATACTTTAACTTAATGGCTCGGATAGGCTGGTATCGGCCAGTATCGGTATCGGATCGGAAGTCCAAAAACAATATCGGATCGGATCGGAAGTGCAAAAACCTGGATCGGGACATCTATAGTTCAGGTTGTGACTGTCCTTTTGCTGTGAGGAAGTATGTTCTTTAGCCCAGCTGATCTTTTGCAGTGTGGATGTCACTGAAATACGCCTTGAAATCGATTAAAACACCTTGTGGTCAATTCCATTCACGACTCATCCTTTTTTGCATTAAGTAACTCAAAGTAACTAAGTAACTTTTACTCAAATTACATTTAAAACAAAGTAATTTTGTACTTTTACTTGAGTACATTTTGAGATGGGTAATTTTCCTTTTACTCTGAGTAGAATTTAGGCAAAGTAAAGATACTTTTACTCTTTTTTGTACTCTTTCCACCTCTGCCTTTTTTTTTTTTTTTTTTTTTTTTTTTTACAGTTTCCTGTCTGGTGATGTGTCAATAAGAATAATTGTCTTGATGCCAAAAGGAGCCCAACAGATTTTACTTTCACAAGTGTAGCAGTATGGCAATTGCCATACTGCTCCACTTGTTTCATGCATATAAATTGCTTTATTATAATTATGCAGGGAGTTTTACAGTTTATATGGACACTGCAATGTAAGTAGAGCAGAAAAACAGAAGAAGAAAAAGGAAAAAAAGGAGAAAAGATGAAAGAAAGAAGAGATAGAAAGGAGACAATGACAACATTTTCAGTCTGCTTCATCACCTGTAACGAGATGAAAAAAGAACAGCACAACCAAAAGACACAGTACGAGATATACAATAAAGCAACACCTTGAAACTATCGCTAAAGTAATATTATTAAGTCTGACATGTACTCTGCCTTTTTTCTAAGAATGCTTCTTCTTCATGTCTTCCAATGGTTGACTCTGTTTCCCATGCTTCATTGAGGTTCATCACAGACTATAGAGCCATGACATCACTGTGACCTGTCCTCTCAGGTGGGATGGTCTTCCCTCTCTACCAGAAGGCAGTGTCATTGCTACACCTTTATTTCCAAGGCCCTTCTTGGATTGCTGCCCTCTTACGTTCGTACCTTACTTCCACAGTAAAGTATGGCTCCTGCCCTGAGATCCAACCATCAGCTGTTGCTCCCCGAACAGAACTGGGGGAGAAAGTCTTTAGCTACTGGAAGTTGACTGAGTTTTTATTATTAAATGCTTTTAAGTTGAAAGTGAAGGAATTTGAAGCAGCCTCAATGATCTGTAATTGTTTTACTTGATATGTTATTTCATTTAATGTATCTCTCTTTCTTATGTAACTTTGTTGCCTCTTGGCCACAACTCCCTGGAAAAGTTGGTTTTTAATCTAAATGGTATTTTTTTCCTGGTTAAATAAAAAAAAAACTTTTTTGAGGGTAGATCAGCGTTAGCTGCAGATCCTCTGAATAAAAGATGGATTTCTGATCTAAATCCATCAAATGGTTCAGAGAACCTTCCTGTTGGTTCCAGCTCCGGTTTTAACTGGTGTTCTTTCCCTCCTTTGCTTTGTTGCTGCTCGTAGTTCTTTGTGGAAATCCTTAAAGCCAAAGGAACCTTAAAGGAGGATATTAGAGAAGCAATCTTCAGCTCAATCAAATCCATTCTGTCCATCAATCGGTAAGTTTATCACTGAATTCATTTTATTTTTTTGATTAACTGATTAATAATCACATAGCCAAAGGTTTTTTAAAGAAGACTTTTAACTAAAGGAAACCAGGTCCAACTAAAATAATTCCACTCCAGGAGTTCTGGATAGAGCAGATTGACAGATAAAAAAACTTTTTTTTTCTTAAATGCTAAATGTTCCATATTCTTTTTACAATCTTGCTATAATTCCTTCTCTGAGTCGCTCTGTCAGCTAAAGGCATGAATTACAGTCTCTATACTCCAGTTAACGATTAATGGATTACTAAATGAGTTGACGATAATTTCCATAATCGATTAATCTGATTAATCCAATTAATTGTTTCAGCCCTACTGCAGATTAGGCCATAGTGAATTAATATAATAGTGGTTCCGTACTACTATGCGCTACTATCAGCTCTTCATTGCAACATTTCTGAATCCTGCAATCTACAATAAAGCTTCAAATTATTCCCATCCCAGACTAATGTTGACTTGCAGCGGCCTGGCAGTGATTTCTAGCCAGCAGCCGTCTTTGGTTGCAGACGAAGGCTCTGGAGTCATCCAGCCATCTCTGCCCAGCCACTGAAGCAGCTGAGTCCAGTCTGCCCCATATAGGGATGACCTGTTGACTCCAGATCTTCCATCTGTGCTCTGGTTAAGTGATGAGGCCCTGTTGAATGATACTGTTTATTTCTGTGTTTAATCGTTCTGCATTTCCCGTCACACGACTGAGCAGATTCGCGATGTTGTGCACATGGCGAGTAAACGAGGAAAGTAATGGAGCCCAACAGGTCAATATTTCAGCAGCAGAGGAGGAAAAGTCCAAGAAGAAGTTTGAACTAGAGTTTAAACTGATTATTATTTTGCTAATCGATTAATCAGTCAATCATTTTTTGATTGATCAATTAATAATTATGGGGAGTGGCGGCCTAGTGGTTACGGCATAGCGCTTGGAATCCTGAGGTTCTGAGAATGAGCCCCAATCCTGCAGTCTGCCACTCTGGGCCCCTGAGCAAGACCCTTAACTCCACACTGCTCCCCGGGCGCCGCAAGATGGCAGCCCACTGCTCCCCGGGCGCCGCAAGATGGCAGCCCACTGCTCCCCAGGCGCCGCAAGATGGCAGCCCACTGCTCCCCGGGCGCCGCACAATGGCAGCCCACTGCTCCCCGGGCGCCGCACGATGGCAGCCCACTGCTCCCCAGGCGCATCAAAATGGCAGCCCACTGCTCCCCGGGCGCCGCACGATGGCAGCCTACTGCCATCATGATCAATAGATCATTATTTATACCTAAAACTAATACGTTTGCAGTGATTTAATGAATTTCGCATTAATCAGTAAAAAAAATGAAAACTATTTTCCTCTTGCCATCACCAAACATAATACGTTATTATGTTTGGGCATTTTTGCCCAAATATAGTAACCCCTCCCTCCTGCCATCTTCCAGCAGTGACGTCACGGTGCGGTAAGCCTAGCGCCATTCTCCCCGCTTTCCAAGCTAAATCAATGGGAACTACTAGACACATCTGCAATCAACAACAATTATTGAAGATTTCCAGAGGACTTCACCATTGAAATTCACCAGAGCTATAGTGAAACTGACAATGCCCACGTGCATGGCAGCTGGATGCTGGAATACATCGGGTAAAAGTGAAAAAAAGAGTTATTTCCCCTTTCTGATTCCTGATCCTCCACGGACGGGTTGGTCGTTGGATCGCCAACTTGAAGAGGGAGGATTTGCCATCGAACTTCTGGCCAGAGAAAAAACCCGTAATATGTAGCCAACATTTGGAAGAAGAATGTTTTCAAGATGACTTGGATAACAGCGCGTTGTGACAAACACCAGATACAGCACTGGGACTTGATCAACAGCCGATACCGCACCGTGAAACACAAACCAGTAGGTGGCAGTAGTGTTCTTTGACAAACATGGATGCCTCCAGTAAAGCACATTCACATGAAAATTACTCTGAATTAAAAACACTGATCATTTATTGAACAGGATGGAATCATTTCAGATTTAAAGAACTTTCTGAAGTTTGAATTCTGAATATGAGCGACTTTTCCTTTAAAGCCTTGGTTTTGCTGAGCGGAGTATAATCTCATGTCTGCAGGTATAAAACCTCTTTATCTCGGTCTGATTCAGCTGCTAAAGGCAGTTTTAGCAGCGCCTGTCTGGAATCCAGTTGCATGTGCTGTGAACAGGCCTCTGTATTTATTTATTTAGTTATTTATTTTTTTGGTCGGCCAATCATTGGACCACTTGCATGCGAATCGTGGAGAGAAATCCGTAAATATCTCTGACCAGTAATGATCTGTTGCACCACTAATCACTGCCAAGCCGGATGGTTAAAGATTCAGGGAAATGTTACTAGTTTAAAGAGATTTATGGAAACAAAACATGTATTGTTTCTCTGTTTTACAGGTTTGGGGGAAAGTTTCTTGTGTTCCAGCTGAAGCTGTTAAACAGGTGTATTCAAACAAAGTTTATCAAACCTTAAGCTCCTCAAGGAGCCGTTTTCAAGGCTGCGGCTGACTATACCCGTACTCATTCTACATAGTTTGATCTGTTTTTTTGTTTCAGGAAAAAATAAAGCATTTTCTCTTCACAACTGCACTGAACTGAAAGGAAAGCTGTGGGATTTCTGGTTAGGAAGGATTGGACACCTATAATAAGATTTTTAAGTCTAAATGAGGGTGTGAGTGTCTGCAGACGGCGAGTCTTTCTAGTTTATAGAGCTACAATGAAGACTGAAGTATAAATTACAGCCTGACTTGGTGGATGAATGGTTCCACAGTTCCCATACATCTTCATTATCTGCCCATTACTGGAGCAGTGGTTAAAGCACACTGATGGGCTGTTTTGTGGAACGTCGGTTGCTTAGAAAGGTTTCTGATTAAAGACTTTGCTCTTTTCTGACATGTTATAGTCGCTAAATGTGTAACAGCTAGAGGTTATAGATAATAGATCTTTATCTCATAATGAATACATGGATCATTCTCTGAGCTTTCGCTGATGGAAGCAATAAACATTGTATGTGCATAATGCTTAATTCAGTTCTATTCAGTTCTATTCTATAGCGTCACGTAATATCATGTCATCTCAGGTCACTTTACAGAGACAATTCAACCAGATCATCCAGTCAGACTCATTGACTCTTCAGCAATCCCTCACACTAAGCGTGCTTGTAGCGACAGTGGAGAGGAAAAACTCCCTTTGAACAAGAAGAAACCTCCAGTAGAACCAGGCTCAGTGTGAGCGGCCATCTGCTGAGGCCCACTGGGGTTCAAGGAGACAGAAGCAGACATAGAAAAAGAAGCATAGATACAAAAGGCACTGTCAGTCAGAGAAACAGGACTACACTGAAAAACAGGAACAGACCAGATGAAGCTACTATGAGAAAAAGCAGAGAGAGCAGAACGTTATAGATTGAACTAATAGATTCTGCAGAGTGGGAGAATAGAGATAGAATGATGAAAAAGGGGTCCCTATGTCCTCCAGCAGTCTAAGCCTATAGCCTGACCAAGGTTGAAGACGTATCGCTTCCCATCCAGGAGGCTTATTCAGTAAAAAAATAAATAAAATAAAAAAAAGCTGAGAAAGTTTCCTGAATGGGAAGCAAAATGTCTTCAAACTTGTAAAGCAAAGTCCACTGGTTGTTTTTTTTAAACTTTATTGGAATCTCCATGTTGTTTAGAAACATCAGATCTCCAAATGCAGATTGTTCTAGTCTGAGAATTGACAAGGACTTCTGGATAGGTGTGAAAATGTCTTCAGAAAAACTGAAAGTCTGGTTTCCTCCCATCTTGTGCTTGTGAACATTGTACCAGACACACAGCAGGCAGCAGGCGCATGTGACCCAACTCCTCCTACTTCAGTTCAATCTGAACGGCACAATTCTGACTTCTGTCGCTAGTAAAGCTTTTTATGTTTTGTACTGAATCATATGGACTGTGTGGCGGCCATCTTTGTAATGTGACTGATAGTTTATACAGAGCTAAGCTAAGTGTTAGAACGTTCTCAAATAAAACCTTGCTTTTGTTTGCTGTTGCTTTTTGCAGATCGCTGCTGGTCCATTTGGAAAACGGCTACATCGGGAAAGGCCTGGAAACATTCTGCTCACAGTTGCATCACTACAACAGCTATGTGGACAATATCTACAATGCTAACAAAGTGCTGGGGGTAGAGACACGCCGTCTGCTTATCAACCTGTTGCTCTCATTTTAATGAATTCAACTTGTTTTTCACTGAAGCTTATAGTAGAAAAGGGGATCATCTTAGTGCCAAATAATAAATAACTCCCCTGGTGTTTGACGTTAGGCGCCTGCTAAGATCGCCCACTAAGCCCAGATTTTAGAACCATTGTTCTACGGTTGTTTATGTCTCTTTATGAATTATCTATTTGGTGCAAAATCTTTGGATTTATTCACTCTAGTCAAAATATTTTCGATCCTATTTAAATATTTGGGTGTTTGCGCCAACTATTTCAGTTTGATATATCTAATAACTGATGGACGCAGTAATATTTCAGTATTGAATTGAGGTTTTGTTTTAATGCATATTGCAGATTTTCTGTTAGTCCAATAAACCTGAATTCAATACGTACATATTACCGCGTCCATCAGTTATTGGAAATATCAAACTGAAATAGCTGCTGCAATCATGTTGCTGATCTAAACGACTTAATATTTCCATCCATCCAACCGTCCATCTTTTCCCGCTCAGTCCTCTCATAGTGGTGCTGGCGCCTATCTTTGGCGGTCTACGGCGAGAGGCGGGGTCCACCCTGGACAGGTCGCCAGTCTGTCACAGGGAAACACAGACAAACAAATACATGCATCCATGCACGCTTCAGAGAAGCCACTTAACAGTCATGATTTTGAACTGTGGGAGGAAACCGGAGTACCCGGAGAGAACTCACGCATGCTCAGGGAGAACAAGCTAACTCCAGCAGAATAGAACAGAAAATCACTTTATTGTCCCTCAATGGGGAAATGCTGATGTTACAGCAACAAAAAGATAGAAAAAAAGGTCACACAAACATGGACCTTAGAAAAATGTATCAGAATAATATAATAGTGAAGAGTTAAAAGATAAACAATAAAATCCTGTAAAGTGTTTTAATAATATAAAACTGGAGAATAAATAACCAATATGCAGCTATGGACATTTTTACAGTAATGGATATTTGAAAATTGCAGCAACATCAGAGATGTGCAGAATGACAGCAGCAGGTTATTTAACTGACTAAGGTAGAAACTGCAAAATCAGCATGAATGGAACAACTGATTGAGGTTGATGGGATCATTGAGGTTAATGCAAACAGCTTTTCAGCACTGAACATTTCCAGTTATAAAGTGCAGCAGTGATCAGAATGTAGGCAGTTTAGGAGAAAATGAAAAACCAGTTTAAAGTCAAAGTGCAAAAAGGCATTGATATGGAAAGGTTTAATGCAAAATAAATGGTGCAAAATGCATTAGCATAGTGAGTTGTGTGACTTCGAACCCAGAGCTAGCCCCGTTGCTAACAATGATCCAATTCTCTGTCTGCCTTTGTAACCATTGTTTTGTAATCTAATCCTGTGAAAAAGCCCACGTAGAGGCGCTGCAGGGAAATTATAAGACTTCATAAACCATTTAGGAGAAATGCTCTGGGATGAGTTTAAATGATTAGAGATGAAATCTGCCTCCGTCTGAGAATGACCTCACTTCCTGCCATGTTTTCTCAGATCCAGCTGAAGAAAAACAAAGCCTTCCGCCGCTTTAAGACGCTCCAAGAGGCTCGACCGCAGTTTGAAAACCAGAAGCTGGAGGACTTACTTCAGATGCCAGTTCAGCGAATTCAGCAGTAAGACTTCGCCTCGTTGTTTGAGATGAAAATGTTCCTTATAAGAATGCCAAACTGAGGAGGAACTTTGCTGTTTGGCGTTCTGAGTGCAACCTGTTCATTGCTCAGGAAATGTTTTGTTACAGTCAGGAAGTTTTTGTCTGTTAACATGGGAAAACTGTTGTATTTTACTATTTATTATTTTATTTTCAATCACAATAACAGGAAAATTGCACCAGCTGAGTAACACGAGTGAGGTCGGAAAGCAGGGTGCTTCTGTCCTGAAAAGGTTCCTGGTGTAAAACCATCAATCCCTTATAAGAGATTGAAAATGATCTGACCAAAGTGATGTGTTAAATCTAGGTGTGTCAGTTAATAAATAATAAATCAGTCAGTGGGCCTATATATGGGGCTACAGGAAGTCACTGTGCTGTTTGGTGACATGGTGTGTACCACACTCAACATGGACCACAGGAAGTGACGGAACCAGTTCCTCAGTGGACTAGAAGGAAATTTATAGACGAGCACGTAAAAGGTAAAGGCTAAAAACTTCTAAGGATTAAAATTGAACGTCAAGTTCAGGGAACATCAGCATCAGGGTCGTCCGGCTTTGGATGACTGGCTGTAGACGGCGAACAAACTCATCAAACCGACACACAGACAATCCTAGCTAGTTCCTGATTGTCCCTCTGGCAATACAATAAACAAATAAATGTAGGTAGAAATTAACTTATACAGTGAGACATAAAATATATATATATATATATTTTAATTAGCTTCTTTATTTATTTGTCTTTGTAATAATTACCTTATTTATTTATTGTCTGTTATAATCTTTATTTATTATATTTTTAAGTATTTTTTTGTAAATGTGATATTTTTGTCTTATTTTGTTTTATTCTTTTGTTTTTTTCTACCCTCTTGATTTCTTCAACACTATTTATGTCTGCCTGTCACTCTAAGCCCCGCCCCTCCTTATTTGCATAATGAAGCGAAATGCAGACAAATGTAAAAGCGACGACAGAAATAAAAAGCATGAAATAAATAAAGGGTAAAAAAATACAAAGGAAGATAAAACAGACAAAAATATTATAACATGCATATAAATACTTAAAAAATAAGTAATAAAGTTAAAGATTATAACGGACATTCAATAAATAAGGTAATTATTACAAAGGTCGAATAAAAGAAACTAATTGAAAGAAATATATTTATATATGCATTTATGTCTCACTGTATAATTTAATTTGTTTGTATTTTTTTGGGGACAATTAATTGTATGCTTATTTATTAATTGAGCATTTATTTAGTTCTGTATTTATTTTTAAATATGGCAGAATTGGTCCTCCATATAGAATAGCATAGACCACGCTTTACAATTGGACGTAAATCAATAATATCTGCATCATACCTGCAACAAGCTAACTGACACACTGCTGTTAAAGGATAACCAGCCCTTGTACCCCCCTGTATACTACACATCCCAGGATGCACCATGAGGCTGAAACACAGCCTGATCCTGAAAATCTCGGATGACTGGAGAATCGGCCTTAAAAAGGCAAAAACTCATACATTGTATGCACGGCTTTACTTATTTCACGTTCAAAATGCCAATTAAAAAATTGTTAAATCTGGACTTCCACGGGACCTTATTTGTCTTTTTCCACCAGTCTATTTTTGGGTGCAAATGCAAAAAAAACGCTTGCATTGTACACCCCTGCATTTTCCTAGCAAACGCCAGGATCTACTGCAGGGACATTGGAATCTCATTTGGTGGGGTGGTGCCACAAATAGGGAAGGTAATCCGCATACAGGGATCACACTCCCAGAAGTAGTGACTCAACAAAGTACCCTAGTAAACGTGAGCAGGCAGCTCATCACCCCAACACGAAGAGATTTGAGCTTGAATCACTCTCCCATGAATCAACTAATTGATCCTTGAGAGGAAACTATAGATAGGAGTAAACTCATGGGTTTTAGGAAAAAATAAAAGGAAACAATTACCATTTAATCCTACATAATACACCTTTAAATCAAGATTAATTGCAATTTGTACTTTATTTTTCTGCAACAATGGATTATTTCCTCATGTTCACACATACACACTGTTTTTTCTTTTAATTAAAAGATGATCCTGTCTTGTTTGTGCTTTTCTTAGGTATAATCAGTATCTGCAAGAACTTGCTGCCAACACTGCTCCAGACCACCCAGAGTTTGAACAACTCTCAAGTAAGTCTAGTTAAAAATATGCGTAGCTTTTATTATAGTTCAAGTAAAATATGTCTTTCATTTTGAATTGAGTTTTTGCTCCTTTTTTTTGTTTTGTTTTTTTTTTTGCTAAGTTTATCACCAATTCTATTCAGTTTATTTCTATAGCGCCAATTCACATCATGTCATCTCAAGGTAGTTTCCAGTTCACCAGATCATCCAGTCAGATTGATTCAAAGTTTTCTAAGGAAAACCAGCTGATTGCATTGACTCATTGACTCTTCAGCAATCCCTCACACTAAGCATGCTTGTAGCGACAGTGGAGAGGAAAAACTCCCTTTGAACAGGAAGAAACCTCCAGCAGAACCAGGCTCAGTGTGAGCGGCCATCTGCTGAGGCCCACTGGGGTTCAAGGAGACAGAAGCAGACATAGAAAAAGAAGCATAGATACAAAAGGCAACTGTCAACCAGCTCTACAGGCGGCCCCGTCCAGGAAACACACAGCCAGGCAGACGAGCTCCGAGCCAGCTCCATTGTCAGAGGATGAAGAGAGCACATCCAGTTAGACACAGTCAGAGAAACAGGACTACACTGGAAAACAGGCCAAGCTCCAACATCTAGAAACAAAGGTGTTGATGGCTGCAGCACAGCTGATATTTCTCTCCAGGATGGAGTCACAGCCAAACAGGAACAGACCAGATGAAGCTACTATGAGAAAAAGCAGAGAGAGCAGAACGTTAGAGATTGAACTAACAGATTCTGCAGAGTGGGAGAATAGAGATAGAATGAAGCAGAATGATGAAAAAGGGGTCCCTATGTCCTCCAGCAGTCTAAGCCTATAGCAGCAGAACTATAGAGATAGCTCAGGATAACCTGAGCCACTCTAACTATAAGCTTTATCAAAAAGGAAAGTTTTAAGTCTAGCCTTAAAAGTAGACAGGGTGTCTGCCTCACGGACTAAAACTGGTAGTTGGTTCCACAGGAGAGGAGCCTGATAACTAAAAGATCTGCCTCCCATTCTACTTTTAGAAATTCTAGGAACCACTAGTAAACCTGCAGATTGAGAGCGAAGTGCTCTGTTAGGAACATAAGGAACAATCAGATCTCTGATATCAGATGGAGCTTGGCCATTTAAGGCTTTATATGTGAGAAGGAGGATTTTAAATTCTATTCTGGATTTAACAGGAAGCCAATGAAGAGAAGCCAGGATAGGAGAGATATGATTTGGTTTCTTGTGTATCACACTAGAAACATCTCATGATGGGTGAAAGTAAAGAACTTTCTCAATTCCATTATTTCAATATTTCAAGAATACAAAAATTGTAATAAAGTTCTTAAATGTTTAAAGTGAATAAAATTAAGACCGGTCAGACTCTGCTTCAGGCTTTATTATTAATATTTAAGCTTGCTTATAAAAGGTACCAATAGGTGGTCTCATGTTTATCATTCTAAAATCATTTGAATTAAAACATTTTCTTGTTGATTCATGTCTATATTTCTGACTCACGTTAGGAAACTTATCTGTGAAAACAGTAATTCAGAATAAGATGATTACTTTAAAGCCTTTTCTCTTCTTTTTGTGCATTCCACCTTGTGGGTAGGCCTGACAGTAGCTGGCGGCTGATTCAGCATGACTGACTTGACTTTGTGCAAACAGGTCCCATGTCAGCCATTTTCTTTCAAGTCAAAGCCTTTGTTCTTTTTCCATATGATCCTCGGAGAAATAAAACATTTGCAGGCCGGGCGTTTTCACTTCAAAGACCTCGCTGTTGTACCATGAACATTTTATATAGACAGTTTTAATCTAAGCAACTTCATGGGAGAATACTGCCTCATTGTAAGTTTTAAAATAGGCCTTTATTTGTTCCGAACTCGGGATGATTTGAAGACTTCTTTCCTAAAATTCCCAGTTGTGCTCGGCTACTCCGAGACGTCAATTTGCACAGAAATAAGAAACACATTTTTGTAACTTTGTGAGGAGAAACGGGCTCAACAGAACCTTTATGTAGAAATTAATCTGATTTAAAGAGTGGCTTAAAAAGAGAGAGTGGGATTGTATTCATGCTGCCTGGAAAACAGCTAATTGGGCCAAATGTATTATTAATCATTTTTTAAACTCTAAACAAGATTTGTTTTCATTCAGCTTGTATTAAAATAGTTTGAGATAAGAATATACATGATTAAAATTTGAATAAAGTGAAAACATTGAACTTTTTTTTCACTTGTTTCACAGCTGACACATGTATGATATTGATTCCTGAAATGTTTTAAGCCTGTTTCTTTTAATTTTGGTGATTTTTTAACGGAAATGAACAGAAAATGAAAATACAGACTTCAGACTAGTGCAAAATTTGATGATTTGATACATTGGTATAGAAATACAGGTCATGCTCTTATCTTGAGGACAACCTGCCTAATTATTCACCCTTTTCTTTTAAGATTACAATGTTTCAGCAGCACATTCAGCATAATGGGCTGTTGTTTGTTTAGTAAACGATGAAAACAAACCTTCGCCAAAAATTTCTACTTTAGAGGAAAGAAAAGGCTTTGCCTTTATAGTTTGAATATATAATAAAGAATTGAACTTTATTGATCTCACACTGGAGAAATGTACTTCTGCGTTTAGCCCCTCCCCTTGGGGAGCAGTGGGCTGCCATTAGCGGCGCCCAGGGAGCAGTGAGGGGTTAAGAGTCTTGCTCAGAGACCTAGAGTGGCAGTCCGTGGGCATTGAACCGGGAACTTGCTACCTTCTCAGAGCACAGAGCTCTGCTCTAACCACTAGGCCATCACTCCCCTCTATCGCTGCCAGCTGTGTAGTAAGGCAAGGCACGTTTATTTCTATGGCGCAGTTCAGGACATGCATAATTCAAAGTCCTTTACAAGAATTGGACAATAAAATAGAAGAGAAATAAAAACAGAATAAAGATTAAAAAACATGATAAACAGGTAGTAAAAGAAAAACTAATAATACTGCAGTTAACAGTTTAACTCCATCAGTCGAAGGCAGCTCTAAACTAACAGGAGTTTGTTCCAAATCAGTGGAGCATAGATGCTGCTTCTCCATGGTTGCTTCTAGTTCTAGGTGAACAGAGTAGGCTGGAACTTTAGGTGTGTTAAATTTTAAAGGCTGCGTCCTCCAAGGACGCAATCTATCTGGACTGGACCCTTTGAGGTCCATGAAAATAAGGAGACCGGAAGAGTTTTGGCTGTGAATTCAAACATGTCCAGCCTTCTGCGGCTTTTACCGCCATATGCTCTGTCGCCAAGCAACCATGAGAGATCACACACAAACAGGAAAAGAATAAATACAGAAATTCTCACTGCTGTTTTGGGTGTTATTAAAATGTTTGGGGATCTTCAACAGCTGCATGATGTCAGATTTCTAGCCGCCACACGCAGAGATATCGGAATCTGAGCTAAAGTGTCAGCCAAACCCATTTATACAGTAAAAGATAAAACCTTTCAGTAAACCAAACATTACCGCCACATATCTGACAAACTGTTTGGCACCATTTCCTTTTGTCCTCTGAGCACGGAGCAGCTGGCTTGCTTGGACTCGCACAGAATCATGGGATACCCAAGTTTATGGAAGATACATAGGACCCATTCTTCGAAACTGTCAAAAAGAAGGATGCATTTATAGGCCGCATGACGAGGAGTCTTCCAATCCAAACAGACCTCAGCGCCGTGCTATGACGTAATCAGGCTACGAATTCGGCCTTCAGAGGACGCATCCCATGAATTCGAACTCAGCCTAGAAGACCTGAGTGGTCTGGGAGGTTTACCCACTGACAGGACGACTTCCTGTTCAACTTTCTGTTGCCGGTCCCCTCGGCTACTTAAGGCTAAACTCCGCTGAAAGCTTTGCTGAGTCTGGACCAGGTCCCTCCGGAGAGGTCTGTCCTCGCTGGACAGAGTCAGACTACCTTTTTCTTACACTTCAGAAGGAGCTAAATTTAGAGTTGACGTTTTTTTTCCTGCGAATCAAACAGAGTTGAACGAAGTGTTTCCTGAAACACCTCCAGCAGAGCAGAGTAGAGATTGAGAGCCAAGTGCTCTGTTAGGAACATAACACCTTTGAAAGACCGAGAGTCTGACCTCTTCGTAATACATCATTCAATGATATCAAAAACTCTATTTCTAAACAAATCACCAGACATTTTCAGAAATGCTCCTACATCTTATAGACGGTCTTTCTAGAAGTGCACTGTGTGGACCAAAGTCCTACCGAACTGTGAATTATGTTGTGTGTTTTTAGTTTTCTTCCTGTATGGGGAGCTTTTAAAAATTTAAAACATTAGTGCAGTGGTTTATGTTAAAATAAACCTTTGGGTTAAGTTGTCGAAACAGGTTTTTCTTGTAAATTTGGTCTTAAATTTTTATTTCAAGTGGCATTAAAAAGTCTTCAATTAAACTTGCGATATGCTGTAGGAACCCTGTAATATCAACGGTGCTAACTGATTTCCCATTTCCACTACCCCTCTGAAACCGATTTGTGCCGAGTTCGGGCCCAGCTTGGATCAGTTAACCGGGCCCAGCTTGGATCAGTTAACTGGGCCAAGCTTGGATCAGTTAACCGGGCCCAGCTTGGATCAGTTAACCGGGCCCAGCTTGGATCAGTTAACCGGGCCAAGCCTTGGATCAGTTAACCGGGCCCAGCTTGGATCAGTTAACCGGGCCAAGCCTTGGATCAGTTAACCGGGCCAAGCCTTGGATCAGTTAATCGGGCCCAGCTTGGATCAGTTAACCGGGCCCAGCTTGGATCAGTTAACCGGGCCCAGCTTGGATCAGTTAACCGGGCCAAGCTTGGATCAGTTAACCGGGCCCAGCTTGGATCAGTTAACCGGGCCAAGCCTTGGATCAGTTAACCGGGCCAAGCCCTGGATCAGTTAACCGGGCCAAGCTTGGATCAGTTAACCGGGCCCAGCTTGGATCGGTTAACCGGGCCCAGCTTGGATCAGTTAACCGGGCCAAGCTTGGATCAGTTAACCGGGCCCAGCTTGGATCAGTTAACCGGGCCAAGCCTTGGATCAGTTAACCGGGCCAAGCCCTGGATCAGTTAACCGGGCCAAGCTTGGATCAGTTAACCGGGCCCAGCTTGGATCAGTTAACCGGGCCCAGCTTGGATCAGTTAACCGGGCCCAGCTTGGATCAGTTAACCGGGCCCAGCTTGGATCAGTTAATCGGGCCCAGCTTGGATCAGTTAATCGGGCCCAGCTTGGATCAGTTAACCGGGCCAAGCTTGGATCAGTTAATCGGGTCCAGCTTGGATCAGTTAACCGGGCCAAGCCTTGGATCAGTTAACCGGGCCAAGCTTGGATCAGTTAACCGGGCCAAGCTTGGATCAGTTAACCGGGCCCAGCTTGGATCAGTTAACCGGGCCAAGCTTGGATCAGTTAACCGGGCCAAGCCTTGGATCAGTTAACCGGGCCAAGCCTTGGATCAGTTAACCGGGCCAAGCTTGGATCAGTTAACCGGGCCCAGCTTGGATCAGTTAATCGGGCCCAGCTTGGATCAGTTAACCGGGCCAAGCCTTGGATCAGTTAACCGGGCCAAGCCTGGATCAGTTAACCGGGCCCAGCTTGGATCAGTTAATCGGGCCCAGCTTGGATCAGTTAATCGGGCCCAGCTTGGATCAGTTAACCGGGCCCAGCTTGGATCAGTTAATCGGGCCCAGCTTGGATCAGTTAATCGGGCCCAGCTTGGATCAGTTAATCGGGCCCAGCTTGGATCAGTTAACCGGGCCCAGCTTGGATCAGTTAATCGGGCCCAGCTTGGATCAGTTAACCGGGCCAAGCTTGGATCAGTTAATCGGGCCCAGCTTGGATCAGTTAACCGGGCCAAGCTTGGATCAGTTAACCGGGCCAAGCTTGGATCAGTTAACCGGGCCAAGCTTGGATCAGTTAACCGGGCCAAGCTTGGATCAGTTAACCGGGCCAAGCTTGGATCAGTTAACCGGGCCCAGCTTGGATCAGTTAACCGGGCCAAGCTTGGATCAGTTAACCGGGCCAAGCTTGGATCAGTTAACCGGGCCAAGCTTGGATCAGTTAACCGGGCCCAGCTTGGATCAGTTAACCGGGCCAAGCTTGGATCAGTTAACCGGGCCAAGCTTGGATCAGTTAACCGGGCCAAGCTTGGATCAGTTAACCGGGCCAAGCTTGGATCAGTTAACTGGGCCAAGCTTGGATCAGTTAACTGGGCCCAGCTTGGATCAGTTAATCGGGCCCAGCTTGGATCAGTTAACCGGGCCAAGCTTGGATCAGTTAACCGGGCCAAGCTTGGATCAGTTAACCGGGCCAAGCTTGGATCAGTTAACCGGGCCAAGCTTGGATCAGTTAACCGGGCCAAGCTTGGATCAGTTAACCGGGCCAAGCTTGGATCAGTTTACCGGGCCATACTTGGATCAGTTAACCGGGCCATACTTGGATCAGTTAACCGGGCCATACTTGGATCAGTTAACCGGGCCATACTTGGATCAGTTAACCGGGCCCAGCTTGGATCAGTTACCCGGGCCAAGCTTGGATCAGTTACCCGGGCCAAGCTTGGATCAGTTAACCGGGCCCAGCTTGGATCAGTTAACCGGGCCCAGCTTGGATCAGTTAACCGGGCCCGCCTTGGATCAGTTAACCGGGCCATGCTTGGATCAGTTAACCGGGCCATGCTTGGATCAGTTAACCGGGCCAAGCTTGGATCAGTTACCCGGGCCAAGCTTGGATCAGTTAACCGGGCCCAGCTTGGATCAGTTAACCGGGCCAAGCTTGGATCAGTTAACCGGGCCCAGCTTGGTTCTTACAAACATTTACACATCATGCTAACATGGTTACTCACCTCCTATCGGGGGTCCATGATACTACAGCTCTTAAGGGGAAAATTATACAAATTCAGGAACATATGTGACTGGATGGCGTCCTCGCATAAATTTTAATGAGAGCCTCGGTCCCTGCATCATCCCAGGTCGCACCGCGATCTATTGATGCTGTTTATTGTTAATAAGCTGAGAAGAAGAGATCTGTGAATACAAAGCTGGACACGATGGAAAACCCGCTAAATGAGTCAGTTGACTGTCTATAGGACATGAGGCAGTCTGCTCATGAGCTCTTTATTAAAAAATCGAGCCACAGCTGAACCGCGCTGAGTCCTACTGATGAACTAGCGCTAGATTTAGCGAAGTTCGGTTGTTTCTGGCCCGGTTCAGATACGGTCCATTTAAACTCAACAGTTATCTGGGTTACCGTGCTCAGACCGATCTCAGCATGGTTTCAAAGGGGTAAATGGGGCTCTAATGTCCTCATTCCAGTGTGATGTTCAAAACAATTTAAAGGAGACCACCAACACAAACTGCTCCCAGTTAAAACATTCAGTTCTTGGTTTTTCTATACAGATGATGGACAGACAACAGTTGAACATCTATTATAGTTTTTGACAGTAGAATGAAATCAATGAGTTGGTCTCTGAGTTTTAAAACAAAGAAAATATTGGAAGAAGTATTTAAAGATGCCCTGCCACAGATGTCTTTGTGTCTTTGTTTCCTGTAGGGGCTGTCGATGCTCTGTCTGAAGTATCCCAACGTATCAAGGACAACGCTCAGCGCCATGACAATCACCTGCAGCTCTGCAGAGTGCAGAAACTGCTGAAAGGCCGGAAGGCACAGGTGTTGGCTCCAGGTTGGATCATTTTGTTATGTATTCCTTTTTATTTTCTGCATGAGTTTCCCTTAGCTGGATTCTGTTTCAGCAGACTGGGTTCGTAACAGAGCACTTATAAATCCCTACATAGATTCCAAAAAACTTTGTTTTGACTTTGTTTTCCAAGTTTGAAGACCTTTAGCTTCCCATCCAGGAATTTTTCAATTTAAAATGTCAGAAATTGCGTTGATTTCATGACTTTATAGAGTGCATCAACAAAAAATCCTTGTTTTGGTTTAGAAATCATGCAAGTTGAAACAAACGAACAGTTCAATTCAATTCAATTCAGTTTATTTCTATAGCGCCAAATTCACAACGCATGTCATCTCAAGGCACTTTACAGTTCAACCAGATCATACAGTCAGATTGATACAAAGTTTTCTATCTAAGGAAAACCAGTTGATTGCATTGACTCATTGACTCAAATACAATACCTCACACTAAGCATGCTTGTAGCGACAGTGGAGAGGAAAAACTCCCTTTTAACAGGAAGAAACCTCCAGCAGAACCAGGCTCAGTGTGAGCGGCCATCTGCTGAGGCCGACTGGGGTTCAAGGAGACAGAAGCAGAGATACAAAAAGCAGCTGTAAAAGGCGGCCTCGTCCAGGAAACACACAGCCAGGCAGACGAGCTCCAAGGCAGCTCCCTTGCCAGAGGACGAAGAGAGCACATCCACTCAGTCACGGTCAGAGAAACAGGACCACACTGGAAAACAGGCCGATCTCCAACATCTATAAACAAGGGTGTTGATAGAAGCAGCACAGCTGATGTTTCTTTCCAGGATGACGTCACAGCCAAACAGGAACAGACGAGGCAAAGCTACTCTGAGGAAAAGCAGAGAGAGCAGAAGGTTAGAGATTGAACTAACAGATTCTGCAGAATAGGAGAACAGAGAGAGAATGAAGCAGAATGATGAAATGGGGGTCCCTATGTCCTCCAAAAGTCTAAGCCTATAGCAGCATAACTATAGAGATAGCTCAGGATAACCTGAGCCACTCTAACTATAAGCTTTATCAAAAAGGAAAGTTTTAAGCCTAGCCTTAAAAGTAGACAGGGTGTCTGCCTCACGGACTAAAACTGGTAGTTGGTTCCACAGGAGAGGAGCCTGATGACTAAAAGATCTGCCTCCCATTCTACTTTTAGAAATTCTAGGAGCCACTAGTAAACCTGCAGATTGAGAGCGAAGTGCTCTGTTAGGAACATAAGGAACAATCAGATCTCTGATATCAGATGGAGCTTGGCCATTTAAGGCTTTATATGTGAGAAGGAGGATTTTAAATTCTATTCTTGATTTAACAGGAAGCCAATGAAGAGAAGCCAGGATAGGCGAGATATGATCTCTCTTTTTAATTTTCATTAGAACTCTGGCTGCAGCATTTTGGATCAGCTGAAGGCTTTTAACTACAGTTTGTGGACTTCCTGATAGTAAAGAATTACAATAGTCCAGCCTTGAAGTAACAAATGCATGGACTAGTTTCTCAGCATCACCCCTGGACAGGATATTTCTAATTTTTGCAATGTTCCTCAGATGAAAGAAGGAAATTCTAGAAACCTCTTTGATATGGGATTTAAATGACCTGTCCTGATCAAAAATAACACCAAGATTTTTTACTTTATTATCTGAAATCAGTTTAATCCCATCCAAATGAAGTGACTGGCTAATCAGTTTCTTTTTCAGAGACTCTGGTCCAAAGACTATAACTTCTGTTTTGTCTGCATTCAGAAGCAGAAAGTTAAGAGTCATCCAGGTTTTTATACCTTAAATACGTGCCTGTAGTCTATGTGTTGGGTTGGTTTATTCTGGATGTATAGCTGAGTATCAACAGCATAACAGTGGAGATTAATCCCATGCTGTCTATTAATAATACCAATTGGGAGCATATATAAAATAAAGAGAATTGGTCCTAGCACTGATCCCTGTGGCACTCCACAGGTAACCCTGGAGCATGAAGATTTATCATTAATGTGTAAAACTTAAATCGGTTGGATGAATAAGATCTAAACCAGTCTAGTGCTGTTCCTTTAATTCCTACAAAATATTTAAGTCTTTCTTAAAGAATAATATGATCAACTGTATCACTGAGATCTAACAGGACAAGCATAGATAAGTCCATTGTCCATTATCTGAGGCCATGCGAATATCACTAGTGTCTTAACCAGAGCTGTTTCATTGCAATGATGAGCTCTAAAGCCAGACTGAAACTCTTCAAAAAGTTCATTATGGTGGAAGTGATCGCAAACTTGTTTGGCAACTACTTTCTCAAGAATTTTGGATAAGAAAGGAAGATTGGATATAGGTCTATAATTGACCAAGTCATCTGGGTCAAGAGACGGTTTCTTAAGCAGAGGTTTAATTACAGCAACCTTAAAAGCTTTAGGTACATATCCCTGTAACAGAGATAGATTAATCACATCTAAAATGGAGGAGGAGATCAAAGGGAATACCTCCTTAAATAACCTGGTTGGAACTGGATCTAACATACAAGTTGAAGGCTTAGATGAAGACAATAATTTTGCTAATTCAGAGAGTTCAACTGGATCAAAGCAGTCTAAACCCGGTTCAGATTCCATGACTACCTCAGGTACAATCGCGGATAGAGGAGTGCTTATGATCTTATTTTTAATAAGATCAATCTTATTTATAAAGAATCCCATAAAATCATTGCTGCTAAGAGCAGGTGGAATGGACGGTTCAACAGAGCTATGGCTCTGGGTGAGTTTGGCAACTGTATTAAAAAGAAATCTAGGATTATTCTTATTCTCCTCTATTAATGAGGAGAAGTATGCTGCTCTTGCTTTACAAAGGGTCCTCTTATACAGCAGTAAACCATTTTTCCAGACTAGGAAGGACTCTCGCAGGCCTGTGGAGCGATATTTTCTCTCCAGTTTCCTAGCATTTTGCTTCAAAGTACGCAGCTCTGCATTAAACCAAGGAGCAAGCTTTCTATTTTGAACGGTTTTCATTTTCAAAGGAGCTGCGTTGTCTAAGGCAATACGCAGAGAACTAGCAACCCCATCAACAAAATCATCAACCTGTGAAGGGGAATAAGCTAAGCTTTTGCACTCTGCAGCACTGCTCAGTGACACAGAGGAGAGAGAAAGTGAAGCTGATTCTTTAAAATTTATAACTGCACTATCTGATAAAGATCTACTAAAATTGAACCTTCTTTTGGGGGAGGAGAACTCTGTTAAAGTAATCCTGAAGGTTATTAGAAAGTGGTCATAGAGGACAGGGTTGTGAGGAAATACTGTTATTTCTTCACATTCTATGCCGTATGTCAGCACAAGATCCAAAGTATGAAGATGAGAATGCGTGGGACTATTCACATTTTGAACAAAGCCAATAGTGTCTAAGATAGCATTAAAGGCTGCTCTTAAGCTATCGCCTTCAATGTTCAATCAGTTCCATCTCTTTGGAATGGGGGTCGTTTGGGTTCTTTGTTAGCCTGCAATGCCCCATACCTGTCTATGTCTCTGACAGGGGGTTGTTGGGGGAATTGTTGGCCTGGCTGAATAGGCGAGGTCTTCTGTTCTCCTATAAAGGAGTTGGGGCTGCAATGATAGCTGGAAGGAATCAACTCTATCGCTGCATTGCTTTTGTCCAAAATGTGAACATTCTGGTCCTCCAAAGAATGTCCTTTGTCCATGAGGTGTAGATGTACCACAGAGTCTTGTCCAGAGGAGGGCGCTCTCCTGTGTTGGGCCATGCGTCTGTGGTTGTTTGCTTTCTCCAATATAAAGATCAGAGCATTCCTCCATAGATTCTCTTTGCCAGGCCTCCAAGCTTTCGTTCCTCTTATTAGTCAGTAATGTTCTTAACATCATGCAGAGACTTTAAACTGACTGAGCATCAATGGAAATATTAAATCTTCTAGAAATAACATCAGTACTCTGTTTGCTATTTATCACCTACCTTTTTATTCTTCTCCAGTAGTTTTCTTCTTTTTTAGGGACAGAAAATAACAAGTCACTATTTCCAGCTACATCTCTGAAGATGGTAATAATTAAAGGATTGCAATGTGTTCAGTTCATTTGAAACACAGCCTAACCATGAACTGTTGCTTTTCTCACTCTGCCTTCTGCCACAAGGCTCGTCAGTAAAGCTTTAATCACTGGAATGACTTTCAGCAGGAAAATGGTTTCTGTTTAATTTAACTTCCTCTCTTAAGTTGTTGTTCATCCAGTGCTGTGTGGAAGGGTGACTCTTTTCTCCCCGCCAGTCCTCCTCCTTTTGATTGTCTGAAGAGAAACTGGCCTCATTGTAGTGCTGCTCACCCTGCTGATCTCCCCCAGGACCAATTAGAGGACAGTTATCATCTGGTCATGTCCCTGACCAGATGATAAAAACAACGCCACAATACATGTGTCCCTAGTTAGTATGTTTTCTTGCTTTATCTCAGCCAGAATAATCTAAAGGTAATTATTCACACTGTATCTCTAAGCACAGGAAAAACCTTCAGTCCTCAGAAGGTTGGTAAATATACCAAAGACATCCACACACATAAAATAAACACGAACACATTTCTCCATCCTTGTGGGGACTTTTCATTGACTTTGATTCATTTCTAACCAGTTTCTACAGCCTAAGGTATGGGTTCATACCTAACCCCGATCTAAACTTAGTTCACACTTTAGTCCAAACCCTAAAACAGCATCTGTACTCATGGGGACCAGGCATTGGTTCCCACATGAGTATGAGGGCCCCATCATGTGCTAAGATTTATGGAAATGGTCCCCACAATGTAAGAAATATTTGCCCAAACACCCGCATGCTGACCCATTCGCCTACATCCTCACTATTAGTAGAGGAGAAAAGCAGCTTCTCTCACAGATCAGCCGCATCAGGACGCCCCTCAGACATATTGAGCAGCTCTGGAGGACAGCAGAGACTCAGAGCCTGGATCATTCCGTCACACAGCCAGTGGGGACCAATATTTATTACTCCATGGTAGAAAATGCACTTATTTTTTCTATTGAAGTTTTGTTTTTTTGTTTGTTTGTAGGCACCTGTCCACATTTCTTTCATTTTTTATTGCAAAATTTAACCAGAGTAACGGAAAAATTACAGGTTAATTTGAATATTCCAAACTTTAATACGTCAGAATGAAATCTGCTTCTACTGAGTAAATATTAAATAACTGCTGTTTGTTTAATCTAAATTTTAACCTGAGGGTTAAATGTTATCATGGTTTTAAAACAAATGCAGGGGGAAAAAAAGGTAAAAATTTGAACAAAATAATTTTTAAAAAGTTGCAGAAAAATATCTGAAGAGGAATTGGAAATTAGACGTGATGATTAGGGCTGGGTCAAAAAATCGATGCCTTGAGAATGAGATCGATTAGTTTAATAGTGACGCTCGTGACGTTTACATTCAAATGAGAGGGAAAGATGAACTCAAGATGACTTCAAGCCAGACAGCTGCAAATATGGCCAATAGATTAACTGAAGACATTAACACATGGGGGCTGATCAGAAAACATCCTGTAGTTACAGACAGCGCTGCTAATATGGTTTGATTCAGTGAAGATAATGCAGCTCATGCATGTCTGCTGTGTCACGTCTGCTCGCTCGAGTGACGCTTCACTTTTTCACTTTTCACAAACAAGTTTGCACTTTTTAGACAGTTTTGTTCACATCTCAAGTTTAAACTGTCTGAATTACAAGTTTTCACTTTGTGTTTAATATGACAGGAAAAAATAAAATATGAGTATTTTGAAACCCAGTTGAACCAGTTTCATTATTGTAAAAACAGATCGAATTGAAACTAATTGATTTAGAACCCTATGAATCAAAATCACATCGATTCAGGACTTTGGCGAAATTACCCAGCCCTACCAGTGATGATTGGTTTAGTGTTTTTAGAACTCAAAATTTTATTTGAAATAAAAAAAAAAGATTAGTTTAGGCTTGGTGGCGTAGTCAATGTTTAATTTCTCTAACCTAAGATTACGCAATCCAGGTAAGATTTGCACTAAATGATTAGAATATTGGTTTTATAATATTAGATTGTACAAATCTGTTTATTTTGTATTTGGAACTTACAGTAGCAGCAATTCAAAATGGCCGCTCCCAGTTAAACCCCAGCCAATGGCAGCCGCCTTCCTGCAACTCCCAGCAAGATCCCCTCCAACTTCCAGCCACTGGAGCGACTAGATGGTTCTCTTTAGATCTTAACGTCCACAAATCAAGACAGAAAGAATATTTTAGTACAAATATTGATGTTTAAACAGGAATTGTAGACGACCAGCCAAAGAAACTGTGGAAACGTGAATGGCTGCTGCTGTATGGGGAAACGGCACCTCAAATGATTTGCTATTAGTTTAACGTCTGAACTGTTGAGTAATAAGGAATGGATTCAGACTGTAAAAGTAATATTTGAAATGAAGATCTCTATTCCAACTAACGACAGGTAAGGAATAATCCATGGAAAAATAAAAATTCCCAAGCTTGTCCTTTGTAGGACATTGGAAGAACACTCTGAGAACGTCCTCCACCCAGCAGACACGCCTTCCATGACCAAAGGATTAATCAGGTGCTCGGGACCATAGATATAAACAGCCACTACAGCCAACCATAGCAGTTGCATAAAATACTGGTCTATGCCGTATTCTGTGCATATTAGCATCATTGAATATGGTAATAAAAGCAGTAAATTCAGATTTGCTCCCATCCATCTAAAAGTTACCATTCTGTAAATCGACCCCCTCATGTAGCTCAGCAGAGGCATGCTAACCAGCCACTCGTTTGATTCAGGGGTGTTAAAAAGGGGGGGGGGGCATCAAAAAGCTGCAGGATAGTAGCTCTGGCGGAGCCCCCCTGAAACAGGCGGCGCATAAATAAGAAAGAAACTGCTAAAAACCGTTAAATGAAGAACATTTTATTACTGCTGATGCAAACAGCAGCCTTCATTCCACACGTCTGCTGGTCGTGTTGCAAAGATCTCTGAGTTTCATTTGAAATTTATTCAGAAATTTGAACATTTTTGACTTCATTTATAGATTTATACCAGGTTAGAAACTTTTTATTTTTTTCTAGAAATCGAAATGGTTACTTTCCATTGTTACTGTTTTTGCTACCTTACCTGTAACCAATATAGGATATTTTTTTTAAACTTCAATGAAGTCTTTGGACTTTGTAATAACCCCAATAATGAACACATTTGCTTCCAAAACTGTCCGTCCGCAGGGAGGTGGTTCATCCGGGAGGGCTGGCTGAACATCGTCCCTCCAAAGGGTTCAGAGACGAAGCCCAAGATGTTCTTCCTGTTTTCCGACCTGCTGCTGGAGGCCAAGTGCTGCAGTCCGCTGTCCTTCTCCAGCGGCAGAAAATACGTGGGCCAGCATGCCTATCCACTGAGAGACGCCGCCATAGAAAAGGTGTTTGGCCACACCAGGAGCAGCGGAGGCCTGCTCAGTGTGAGTGTCTAAAGCTTCAGTAAAGCTCATTCTTTCTTTTCCACTTTGTTTATTTTTTTAAACATGGAAAGTTTGGTTTATGTTTAACTTACGTGATAAACTAAAAATATAATTTCCCGTTCCTGTATTTTCCCATTCAGTGGGAACAAAATTCATATAGATATGAATATTGATATTGCATATCAAGTACAACAGTTTTGGCGGGAGTGTAATATAGTACATAATACAGTTCCAGAATACAGATGCTGACCAGGCAATACAGAAAAGGATAAAATGGGATAAGAGAATATCTGTATTTTCTAATATTCTAATAGAACTTTCCTGAAAGTGTTTTGTAAGTGAGTGAAAGGTTCTGTTATGTCTGAGCCGCCTCCTTGTATCTCATCGTGCGTTCTTGTACGTTCCCATGTGCTCATTGAACCTCGTCAGCTCTGGTGCTCTTCTTATTCACAACAGCAGCAGACTGAGAACGGAAAAAGTCCCTGGATGTTGTTCTGGCCCCTCCCTCTTTACCCAGAATGCATCAGAGCAGACTTGTCCGTTCTCTGATGTTTTTAAAACCATAACTCCACATCAATATTTCATTCTACTAAATCATCATTTTTTTCTACTTTCTGGTTATTTGATCGACTGTTGTGAATTTAGACTTTTCCTTAACGGGTCTGTCTATAAATCCATCTATTATCCATGTTATGACTGCGGCTCCAAACAGGAAGACGTGTTAAAAGGCGAGGAGGAAGGAAAGCAGGTAAGAAAATAAAGTGAATAGACCAAGCAGCAGCTGTTATTAAACTGATCCGTCCGTTCAGTCCATCATGAAGTTATGAGATCGCTGAATATTAATGCTCTCCTGAAGCAGCCATACACCGAACACAGCAGTGGACTTCTGCCTGAACAAGACGTCTTTATTACATTACAGCAGGAGAACAGGGAGACGAGGGAGAGCAGGGAAACAGGTGCAGAGAGAGCAGCAGAGCCGCCATCAGGATAAAGGATTTTAGAACCTGACGTTAGATTTCAGGGAATAAAGCTCCTGTCACACCTGGACCATTTAGAGCAGCGTCTGCCTGACCGACAGGGAAATCTGGTAAATGCTGGCATTATGTAGGATGAGTTATGAGCACGCTGAAACACGTTGACAAATGGTGATATGGCGGCGTATGCTCATCCATGGTCCATCAGTTCCAGGTCGGGTATCTGATGGTCGTCATCCGTTCAGTGTCAGTTCCTCATCAGTCGTGGCGCCCAGCTTCTCCTACACCTCTGTGTAACTTATCCAGAACTTCTCTCCAAGCATATCAAGGTATCTGACGTGTTCCAGACGAGCGCTGAACGTGTTTCTAACTTCCAGCTACTGTATAATGGCGTATTGCCAGCGTTTTGGTATAAAGGGGGTTCACAGGAGGAAACCGTCAGTTCTCCTCCAGACTTCATCCCCATCATAGGGAGAGCCAGAAGGTGAGGGTGATGGATCCTCCCTGCGTTCACGCCCACCACCAACACACTTCCTAGCAGACATGACGCTCAATCTGCTGACACCAAAAACCTTCTTTCTTTATTTTTTATTTTTATTTATTCTTTTTTTTTTGGTGGGTGGTAAACATCAGCTAGGTTAATCGAAATCTTTTTCTGCAGGCTGTGCGCCTCCAGGTGCATCGCTGCCCCCCTCAGGTCACTGGCCTGTCCATCATTTCATGGGCATTAAGCTGCCGTGCGTTATGCAGAAGTTAGGCTGTTGTTGGACAGAAGTTCTGGACTCATTATGATTACTCTATGTATACGCCCCGAATAGAAACAATCCATAGAAAGTTCAGCGTATGGCATTTAGGAGAATCTGGGACGTCAGGCAGAAGCTGGATAAATCATTGAGATGTGACAGGAGCATAAGACTGTTAGAGGTTCTAGTTCCAAAGCATTGTTTCTAAAAATAATAATAAAATAAACAAATAAAAAAATAAATAGTTTGCCTGAAAAGCTTTAAATGGTTGAATATCCTTCTAAAAAAAAATACTGCTTTCTGCTTTGCTTTTTTGTGTGTTTGTTTTTTTGCAAAAGTCTCAGAAATGGAGTCAGTAATCAGCTTACACTTAATATGTAGCCAACATTTGGAAGAAGAATGTTTTCAAGATTACTTGGATAATAGCGCGTTGTGACAAACACCAGATACAGCACTGGGACTTGATCAACAGCCGATACCGCACCGTGACGTCACTAACCAGTAGGTGGCAGTAGTGTTCTTTGACAAACATGGATGCCTCCAGTAAAGCACATTCACATGAAAATTACTCTGAATTAAAAACACTGATCATTTATTGAACAGGATGGAATCATTTCACATTTAAAGGAATTTCAGAAGTTTGAATTCTGAATATGAGCGACTTTTCCTTTAAGGGTGTCTGGTTTCCTCTCATTGGATTGAGGACTGAGAGATTAGATTTTTATGTCTATATTATAATTGGGATTAGGGGTAAACAAAGTAAGGATTCCAAAGGGGGAATTGAATGAAATTGTGTCGGTGTGAGTGAGGCAGTGGTTGGATCAGATTAGGCTGCAGATCCGTCTCTGCTGCTCCTCCAGTTAATGCATCTTCTTCAGACTCACTGAGCGATCTCCCTGCAGCTTATCTAATGGTAGAAATGGCATTTCATTAGCCTCTCGTCCCGCAGAGCTCCGCATGCATACGCAATAGCTCTGCACATCATTTCTCATAACGACACATTATTGATCCCGGGCCCTTACCTTAGCTCAAGGAAAAGGGCTCTCGGCGCTCCGGGTCCTGATCATGCAGGACCATAAGGAATTAAAGCCAAATTAAATTTGACAGCGTTAAATGTCATAGCAATCTATATGCAAAGTAAAAAAAAAGACTTTTATTAAAAATTCCATTTTTTTCTCCTTCCTTTTTGTCAGATGTTTGGGTACGGCGGTTATTCCTGCCCCACCCCTCCCTGTTTTCCCTCTCCTGACCTTCCCTGTTTTCCCAGCGCTCCCTCCTCCTCCTCATGTTAATATTCCCTCCCTAATGAAGCGTTTCCTCACATCCTTACGGATTCTATTTGATGTATAAATAATTAGGCTAAATGATGTGCTACCTTCAGGATTTCTGCTTTGCTTTTCTTATTCTACAAAATTGTTTCTACTTAGAAGGCTCAGATTTCCTGTCGGCTCCGTTATTATTGTTCAGCAGTGGATTTATTTAGCTTAGATTAAACAGCAGTTTATTCCTCCTGACTCACTGAACTCTTTATCATGATGATGGTTTTGATGATGGTCCAACCTGTTCAAACAGCCTCTCTGTGGAAATCATCCTGCTCCGTCCAAATGACAGATTGGTCATGTGATGACGAAATGTCAACATGTAGAGACGGTAGAACTAAGATGCTTTTCCTTCCCGCTGACCGTGAGCTGAAAGCTGCTGGAAACGGTTCTCCTCTCCTCCTTCTTCCCTTTCACTGTGCTCCTTTCTTGGGGAAACAAAAGTGGCCTTTATCTGGAGTTTTTGCCTGATCTCTACTGCCCCCTGCTGTCTGTTTCACATCACTACAGTAGATATTTCAGTGACTGAAGCCTTTACAATGAGAAATGGTGACATATCTACCAACCTTTGGTCCTTCTCAGTTAGTTAGCCCTTTTTTTTCGCCCAGGAATGTTTTTATTATGAAGCTAATTTAATGTTTCATAGCTATAAAGGCTGTTGCAGTTTATTTCTACAGCGCCAATTCACAATAGGGCTGGACGATATAGAAAAAGCTTGTCGATTAAAAAAAAAAAATGCATCTTGATCGATATCAATAATTATTGAAAAGATTTGAAACCATATTTTATGTGCAGCTCTGCCTGGACTTTTTATAATATTGCTAAATGATTTAATTTTAATAAAGAACACAAACACAGACTTCCAATTAAATCTTTATTTAACCAACTTTTTTAACCATAACAGAACTGTTTTAAAGAAAAATAACTTAAGAGACCTGAGTTATTAAATACTGACAAAGAATAAACTAAAGTGACCAGAAAAGTGACCAAAATAAATATAACAAATAAATAAATAGAATACCCTATTTGGGTGGGAATAGTAAACCACCAGCTTGTGGTAATTAAAAGATTGTAGGACTAGGCTACCATGTAAACTCCACTCAACAAGAACAAAAACCCAAACAAAAATCAACTCACCCTTTAGCATAGCATTTCTATGGGCTATTTTTTCTCCCCCCTATTCTTCTAGAGGAGCTGCTGGCACCTCGTTATGGTTCAGCTTAGTTTCCTGCTTTAACCTGAGTTATTACTTTGAAGTTTCTGGCCCCTCAGCATTTTTCTCTCAATTGTTAGAACTACGTGGGAAACTGCCCAGAATACTGAATATAAATATATAAATATTTTCCCGAAGATTCCTCGAAGGAGAGCCGCGTGGGGCCTAAACAGCTCGTACTCCTGCGGGTGTGAGCGGCCGAGATGATTAAAAAAAAGTTGGTTGAGTTATCAGACTTGGTTTTCACTGGTTCCCTACACATTTTCCAGATGACTGTGGTTTGTTTTTGGTCCGACTTGCCATGACCGAAATACTGCCAGACTGCTGAACTACAAAAACCCTTCTTTGGAACAATTTCCTCCGCCTCTCCTTGCTGCGACGTCTTCATGTGCTCTGTGTTGTGGTTTGAGAGGGCGGCGCTTGGTGACGGCGTGCCTGGGTCCGCGATTGTGATTGGTTGGGAAAAAGCAGTGACTAGCATAAACCTACATGATAGGCTACAATGAGAAGAAAGAAAAACTGCGTTTTTTATCGAACTTTTATCGACTCTTTTTTTTTTTCTATTGCGCCACACGTCTATCGATCGATATATATCGTTATTGAATTATCGCCCAGCCCTAATTCACAACTTTACAGTACATATTGTCGGACAAACTCGCCCCCCTACTTCCTCACTGCCTCGGCCGTATCTAGACCCACAGCTAGTTCCTGATTCTCTTGAGCATAAATCAAAAATGTCTGCATCACGGTC